TAAAAATATAGAGAAGGTATGTTTGGAATTTCAAATAAAATATAAAATATATAAAAATTTTATTTATATATTTTTTACTTTATAAATAGTATGCAAATTTATTCATTTTGGTCATTTTCTCTAGTTCATACTTAGGAAAGGGCTAGTCTTAACCTCTGTAAGAGTTTGTTTTCCAAGGAAATAATGTTTCTTCCAGGCTGGAAATGTTTGTTTATGTGAATTATTTTCACTTTTTTGTTAATATTTGGAAAATAGCATAATATAAATGTTTAATTTTTCTGATGCAAGAACAGACTTTAAATAGCTCAAAAAATGGTTATCAATCATAAGTATACAAACCTAAGTACCTCTCATTTTTAATCTCACCCTTTTTTTCTGGTTATAAATCTTTTATGTCTAAAAAAGCAAAGCCAATATCTGCTAAATGCATTTTTGAAGAAAAATAATATCTTTTAAAAAACCATCATTTCTTTTATTTGTTCTATTGCAACAGAATGAAGGGAAGGCCAATGTTGGCAAGTTATGATGTTTTTGTGAATATTTTAAAGTTTTTAAATGAAACCGCATCTCTGGGTTTTTGTGTTGTTTTGGTAAAGAAGCAGTGAAAGTTGTAGGATGCTGACTCCTGGCAGCAGAGGTCATGCGATGTTAGTGGTCAGTTCCATCTGAATCTAATAAGGTTACTCTCTCTGGGTTGCTCCCCTATCTTAGGATTGAGGAGTCAGAGCGAGGCAATAATGTGAAGAAGGGGTCAGCCACAGCAAGCATCCTCCAGTTATACAGAGATAAAGATAGCCCACTGAATGCACAACTTACTGCTTTCATGGAATTACTTTTCACCTATTTTTAGCAGGCCAGTGAAGAAACCATTTTATGTCTTTTGGTCTCTTTTTCTCATGAAACATACCAGTGCAAATGTCTCCTTTTCTGCTAGGCAGCACTGCAAATAAAAGCATATTTTACAATTCTGTTCAAATGACAGAAAGGGCTGGAGCCTTTTTCAGACACTGTGAGGTCACGATGTTTTCTTTCTAGTATTTTACAAGACAACTACTTTTTTAATGAAATTTTTCTTTTTCTTCACTGTTTTAAGTCTCCTGGTTTTCTCATGGTTTCTAAGATGTTTTAGGGACACTGAGGGATCCTTTGTTCTGGTTTTGTCTTTCATGATCAAGAATGCCAGATGCTACACAGAAACTATTAGGTGTTCCCATCTCAGGGAAAGAGTCTGTTTTTTGTAATTAGCAGTGCAAACATTTCTTAAGGTTGCCGCTTTTCACATCTCCACAAAAGTGCTGCAGTGAGGAACTGCAGTAGCCAAAGCAGATTAATGTAGATGAAATTAGATTTGTTGATAGTAACATTAATGGTCAAATTAAAGGCAAGCGAGAACTGATGATACTAGCTATTTTTAAATAATATACAGTAAACCCTACCAGTTTTGGCTAAGATGAGTGAAGCAAGCTGCTCTAATTTAGGTAAGTATCTGAGTTACAAGATTGAATGACTGAAAGTGACATTTCCTTTAGAACCTATAGCTGGATAGTAGACAACTACAGCTTTATTAGTAATGATTATTAGTGATAATCTGTGCTTGAATATAATGTCAGGATTTTAAAAATTTGCTTTTAAAAATTAGTTAAACATCCACCCTGTCAGCTAATTTACCCTATTTATGTGCTCAATAAACTTTTTGAAAACTAAAGTCTACCCCACTTTTTAGTTATACATTCTTATTTAACAGAGTTTAAATTAATATTTATTCAGTTGTGTTCTTATTTAAAGCCATTATACCTGAAATACTTGTGTTACAAGCATATCTAGTGTTTAAGATAATAAAAATATTAATGCTGAATGTGTGATCTTGCACTTATTTCCCTACTGCCACAACTCAGATGAAAGGCCAGATGGAGTCTCATCTGAAGGAGTTAGAGCGTGTCTGCGATTCCTTGATGGCAGCTGAACAGAGGCTTCACGAGTGTCAGGAGAGTCTGCAGTGCTGCAAGGGGAAGTGTGCAGACCAGGAACACACCGTTAGGGAGCTTCAGGGCCAGGTGTGCAGCCATCCTTCTGAGTTTTGCTAAATGCGTTAAAAGAATGCTTTGGAATGATTTCACCAGTTGAGGGCACTCATGTCAGAGCTTGATTTTTAAATTCCCATCTACTTAGTTTGTAAAACATCATTTTCACGCAGATACTATAATACTGTTTTGCAAGCTATTCTTTTAGTATTTTATGGTGAAAAATTGGTAATTAAAATTCCTATTTTGGTTTATTCATGCAAATCTATAGACATTTGAAGACATGGTAATAGAATCAGAGAAGGAGCAAAGTTATACTTACATATATGTTCCTTGATGTCAGGATAAGGTAAATTATTGAAATTTACAAAAATTAGAATTTATTTTAATTAGAATTGTACATCAAGTTTTTGGGATTTTTTTTTCAGTCTGTTTTTTTTTTTTTTTTTTCTGTTTTACTTTTTATACCATCAGAATAGGGATCATGTGTGTCCTGTTAGTAGTAGCCACATAGCCGTCTCCTAGCTCAATGCCTAGCACATAGTAAGCACTCAATATTTTTTTAATTAATGAAATTTTTTTAAAGGAGCAGTCCAAGGATCGTGACAAGTCTTTTTTCTTTTACTTTCAAGACAGTTTTAGGAAGCATTCCCTGTCTATCTTCCAAATATAATCTGGATTTTAATTTTGCAAAAAACCAAATACTGCATTTTCTCACTTAATCAGTGGGAGCTAAATGATGAGAACACGTGGACACATGAGAAGAACAACACACACTGGGGCCTTTCAGAGGGTGGAGAGTGGGAGGAGGGAGAGGATCAGGAAGAATAACTAGTAGGTACTAGGCTTAATACTTGGTTGATGAAATAATCTGTACAACAAACCCCCATGACACAAGTTGACCTGTGTAACAAACCTGCATTTGTACCCTTGAACTTAAAAGTTAGATAGAAATATGCAGACAAAATTTTAGAGTTCAAAGAGATATTTCTAGTAAAATGTCAGATGACATAGATTAGCCTAAATTACTAATTGAAATTATGAGAAACAAATTTTTTCCTTAAATCAAAACTTCTTACATTATTTAGATCAGATTTTGAAGCAGTGGGAAGAATATTCTGTCTTGGCATGGGCGAGTGTGTCTTTGATTGTTTACTTCATTTTGCTTCTCAAAAAAACATATTTTTTACTGACAGCTTCAACTTCACAGATATTCAATTATTAATCAGTATTTTTAGGTGAAACAGAAAACCATAAGAGAAACCCTAGGTATCCAAAAATAGGAGATTAATACTGCTTCAAATTTTCGTATTTCAACTTAACAAAATAAATACCTTTCTTCAATAAGGTGTTGTTCAAAATGTTTTCATTGCCATCATCCTGAATTTTTTTCAGTTGATTATTTTCCAACACAGGCAACACATCTTCTTTAAATATAACCAGGAATTTAAAACTTCCATTTTAACAATATAACGTTTTCTTGGTGTCTTTCTGTGTAAGAGTAGTAACATTTATACCTTCTCATTGCTTGTGGTCTAACAATAAATTGTGTGGATTTCTTTGGAAGTTGATTGTGAAGAAAATGACTAAGAAACCTTTTTTTTTCTTTTAGGTTGATGGAAATCACAGTCTTCTGACAAAGCTTTCTCTGGAAGAGGAAAACTATCTTATTCAGTCGAAGTGTGAAAACCTTCAACAGTAAGTATTAAATTACTTAACATTGCTGCTGCATATTTCTCTGCACACTAAACTTTTGAAATATATGTTTTCTGTAAAAAGAAAATTAGAACAGATGGACACAGAAAATAAAGAGCTTGAGAAGAAGCTGGCAAACCAAGAAGAATGTCTTAAGCACAGCAGTCTTAAGTTTAAAGAGAAATCTGCAGAATATACAGCATTGGCCAGACAACTGGAAGCCGCTTTAGAAGAAGGAAGACAAAAGGTATGCATGGCCTTTATTTAGAAACTTTTTAATTCATTTACCAAAGAGTCATCTTTTTAAACATCTTGCCAAACCAGTAGTTATTGTTTTGTCTTGATGACAGGGTGAAGGGAGCAATTACATTTTTGTTCTTTAACTATCTTCTCTTTCAAGCAAAACAGATACATTGCTGGGCTAGAGTTACTTCACTAGATAAATGGTAATGTGGTTGGGGAAAGGGCAGAGATGGAAAACACTTTGAAGACGTAATCTCCTCCTGTACCTTTTTTTTATATACAACCAAATTGAATGTGCAAATAATTGAACATTTTTGTTTTGATCAGGATTCAGTGAGCTGTAATGTTCAAGTCCCTTTTGACAAATATTGTTGCATAAATAAATACATACAATATTAAATTTCAGTTACATCCATTAGGTTAGCATCCAATGAATACTTCAGTATCAGGCAATCTGCTAGTGCTTGAGATGCAAAGATGAATGAGACCTGGCCTTAGCTCTCAGCACTTTCATAATCTGGTAGGGTTCAGCCTAAGTGCATTTTGGAAATGCCAGGTATGCTCTCAGATTCCTTCCTGAAAGGAAGAGTTCAGAGTCCCCGAGGTATGTCTGCCCTCTCCTTTCTCTCCTGCTACGGTGGAATATGGGGCTATCTGCAGCTTCTGCCCATGTGAGAATGCCATCACTGCCCTGTTACCATGGCCTACACTGAGGGGATGGTGCCGAGGGCATTGGTGTTTGTCCTAAGGGCCTTTTCTCCCATAGCTTCAGATCACACTGGCATCTCTCATGCATAATTGTTCTTGGAATATGTACAGAAGAAATCTTTATAATAACTTAGAACTGAGTTCATAGGAATTAGGTTGGAGGACAGTCCTTTCCACTAGCTCCTTGTTCCTGGATCAATCCCTGCCTCTACTCTCATTCTTGTGGTTCCAACCCAGCATTCTTACAAATAGGCTTCCACATATCTGATTCCTTAGAAGAACATAACTAAGCTAGACTTCCTGCCAAAATAAGTAATCAGGTAAATATGAAAATTCAAATTCAGACCAGTTTGGAAGTGAACGAATGAAGAACCAGTCTCTGTGTTTGTGTGTGTGCGTGTTTGTAGGAAGTGGGTATACCAATTCCTACTCCCAGTTCTGTTAATCCAAGTGTATAATGAGCATTTAACAAGGAATTTCTATGTTCCATCACTGCTCTTAACACCCTGGTGAATATAAATGCTATAAAAATGGTAACTGGTCTCAGTCTGTTTTTAAAATATACTGTTGGAGAAAACACCTACCTAAGTCACAGAGCAGTGAAAATGTATACATCTCTTCCATCTCAAGCCAATTTTGCAGATATTTAATGCTGCGAAGATAAGTATAGTACATACTTACACTATATATGCTTCTTCAAGATAGAACATCTTTAAACTTGGATATAACATACAAGTAATATGTTTAGAAAAAAGGTACAATATAACTATGTCAAGGCTTTAAATCATATTTTAAAGAAAGCACTTTATTTTACTCTTTTGATAAAAATTACAGGTTGCTGAAGAAATAGAGAAAATGTCTTCTAGAGAGAGAGCTTTACAAATTAAAATATTAGATCTGGAAACTGAGCTTAGAAAGAAAAACGAAGAACAAAATCAACTTGTTTGCAAAATGAACAGTGTAAGTATTAGCATGGCTTAACATATTATAAAAAATAGCATTTAATATTCTTACCATGTAGAAAGTACAAAGCGAGTGAATCAAGGCTGTTGTTTTACTGATAATATTAAAAATAACAAGCAATATAAAACATAAAAAATAAAAATGTTATGATATGCCAAATAATTTATTATTCTGCCTCCTTGGATGGCATGTATTGCATTGCCCTCAAATCTGATAAAATCTCATCAGGCCCTTTCCCTACATGTTACTTTTGCAATGACCACTGCTTAATGAAAATTACAGTTATAATCTACTTGATTTCATCCTGATATGAATTTTTCATTTTTTAAATGAAAAATTTAAGTGAGTTTTATATCTGTCTTGAATAATGAATATTTTATTTTAGAAAGTTATAATTTTGTATTAAACATTCAGTATTGTTAGATATGCATGTGAGATGGATACTTTAGTCCATTCAGTCGAGAAATGAAAATACCAAATTGACTGTGTTCAATTAGTCTTCTGTTTTTTTCCTGAATACGCATGAAATAGTCAATTGGCATAGAATATTCTGAAAGCTAGTATTACTCATGATTAAATTACTTAATAACTATCTACTAGATAATGACATAGAGAATAATGATACTGTATTTTTTCCAGGATCCAGAGAGTCCATTAAATCTATTTTTTTATTCCCAAGTGTCTAAAAAGTTGAAAACCTAAAAGATTCAAGGGTTAAATGACTTTTGGCATGCACAATTTGATTTTATTGCCATCAAAAGTTTCATGACAACTTAATCAGAACAAAATGTCGATCACCTTTAATTTAGCACAGGCCTTCCATTTATTTCAAAACTTTTTTTTTTTAACTCACCATTAGAGTTTCTGACATTGTAAAATATGTGTGCTGTTTTTTGTGTAATCGAAGCCTCTGAAAAAATAAATGAGGTGGGTTTTGCTGTAATATCCCTAGTACTTGGCTAAAGTTAGTAAAATAAATAGATTCCATTCACAATTGCTACCAAGAGAATAAAATATTTAGGAATACAACTTACAAGGGATGTGAAGGACCTCTTCAAGGAGAACTATAAACCACTGCTGAAGGAAATAAGAGAGGACACAAACAAATGGAAAAACATTCCATGCTCATGAATAA